CCTCTCCTCGTCTCTCCTCCGCATCCCTTCTCCTCGTCCCTTCTCCTCGCCCCTTCTCCTCGTCTCTTCTCCTCGCCCCTTCTCATCGTCTCTTCTCCTCATCCTTCTCCTCGTCCCTTCTCCTCATCCCTTCACCTCGCTCCTTCTCCTCGTCCCTTCTCCTCGTCCCTTCACCTCGTCTTTTCTCCTCGTCCCTTCTCCTCGCTCCTTCTCCTCGTCCCTTCTCCTCATCCTTCTCCTCGTCTCTTCTCCTCATCCCTTCTCCTCGTCTCTTCTCCTCGCTCCTTCTCCTCGTCTCTTCTTCTCGTCTCTTCACCTCGCCCCTTCTCCTCGCCTCTTCTCCTCGCCTCTTCTCCTCACCTCTTCTCCTCGTCCCTTCTCCTCGTCCCTTCTCCTCGTCCCTTCTCCTCGCCCCTTCTCCTCGTCTCTTCTATACTTTCTGCCTTATTGGCACATGACGCCCATTCTGCAGTGCAGGCGCCGTGTTTCAGCTGGGGGGTCACATTCTGACCTGTCAGAAGGCTGGATGTTTGGTCTGATTTCCGGCGTCTCAGTGGAGGGGAGGACAAGGACATGGCGGTCACATTGCTGGGGGACAATCACTGAGAGCTGATGGCTGCCATTACCCGGAGCTCTGCGTCTCGTTAGACAGAATGTTTAATTACGTGTTTTATTCGGCCGTATTTCCGGGATTAACGCGCCATTTTAGATCTGTCACTTTGTTGTAATATTTACAGAGTCTGTAAAATACCGTCACAGCAGCTGGGCAGCAAAACGTCCATTAAATGAGAATATACAACCTGCTCCTCCTCCTCCTCCTCCCCCCATGGTGTGTGTGGGGTGCTGTTCCTGGAGCCACCAGCAGAGGGAGACTCGCACCTACAGAACATTAGCACAGCGAGGATTGTGTGTACTCACAGTCAGCCACCAGAGGGCGCCGCACGCACAGCAAATGTATCTGGTGCCATGTGGATACAAGGAGCTCCGCAGATATCAATTGATACATTGTGAACAATCTCAGTATTTGCAGCCAAGGCTTCCTCCTCCCCTCCTCCTCCTCCCCTCATCCTCCTCCTCCTCATCCTCCTCCTCATCATCCTCCTCATCATCCTCCTCCTCATCATCATCATTTACACTCTATTTTT